TTATTATTATTATTATTATTATTATTATTATTATTATTATTATTATTATTATTATTATTATTATTATTATTATTATTATTATTATTATTATTATTATTATTATTATTATTATTATTATTATTATTATTATTTTGCTGATATAATGACAAATATTATCATTAATTTGCTTATACTGAATTACTATTGTATTAACATTAAAAAAATTCATGTAAGCTTGCCTTTATCTCAATTTAATATTACTTTGCAAAAATACCTTTTCAATATTAGCTTTTATTACTATTTTTATCATTGGAGAATACAGTAGTAGTACTCCTATTAAATCTAGCAATATTACTGGACCTTAGTATAATATTTTATTCAAGTTTTTCGATTCTATAAGATAACACTAAAGTGTCATAAACAATTTTTAACTTAATTATAGTCATGCTAGAAATTCATACACTGTAATGTCAAACATTAACCTTTTCCATAGGATGGATATACTCTGATCATAATTGATTATTGATTATTTGATTATATAAATGAACAATTGATTTTCATGTAAAAGTTACTTGATCAGATTCGTTTTTTCATCAAAATGCATAAGTTACAGTTATTATTTAGTTTACTTTTAGATTCTTTCCATGGCCAATGCATTTGATAATAATCTTCTTGAATTGTTTTAATGCTTCTTCATTTTTATTAGCATTGGGTTGTTCATAAATTCCAATAATTTCCTATTTTCAGAATTTCAGAATTCGTTGTTCATATTAGCAGCACATAATGCACTCGAAGTATGTACAGTATCCATGTTACAAAGTTTATTTATTTCATCATTTCCAACAATCATAAGCCCAATTTCCGTATGGCATAATAAATATTTGGAATTTAGTTCACTAATTCCATTCAATTCAATAAATTTGAGAAAATAATCTGCCCTAATTAGTATATTGGGTTATTCCCAATAATTTCTTAAATCCATTAGTTAACCTCTCCATTAGTAAGTACTTCGACTACTTACAATTCATTGATTAAATAGTTAATTACATTGACATACAATCTTATACTTTCTTTTGTTTTAATTTACACGCCTAATTACGTTTGAGTGATGAGATATGATTTAGGTTTCTTAATATCAAATCCGATTAGCCTTAATTCTTCTCCCATTTCTATTAGATTTAATTAATGTGTTAAATCCTTTGATATAAGGAGTAACTGTAATCGTATATCAAACAATGATAAGGCCTCTTCTTGCTTAACATTGTAGTATTAACTATTATCTCTCTACATAAAAGTAAATTTACTTTTTTTTTCATTGTTCTTTCAATACCAATGTTAGTTTGAGTTATGGGAATTGAATTTTAAGTAAATGATCAATTTATCTATCTGTTAGCATTTTCAATTTCATCAATCATATGATTCCCATTTAGGCATACTGTAATCAATCGTGTGATTCCCATTCAGGCATACTGTCATCAACCATATGATTCCCATTTAGGCATACTATAATCAATCGTATGATTCTCATTTAGGCACACTGTAATCAATCGTATGATTCCCATTTAGGCACACTGTAACAATCGTATGATTTACATTTAGGCACACTGTAATCAGTCGTATGATTCCCATTTAGGCATACTGTTTTACCATAAGATGTTTGATTTTTTTGTGATATATTAGCTCTACATTGTGAAAAGGTTTACAGAAGCTTTACAGAAAAAGCGCTTGACAATATGCTATCCCAATGATCTTGGCTACAAAATGTACAGCATTTTATTCATTTGCTCTCGTTTTTTTTTTTAGTCTTCTATTTTTTTTAATAAATTGTTACTAATGCTAAAGTTTCTCTGATATTACTTCTAGAATCTTGCTTGGGTTTAAGTATAATTAATTTCTTATTACTTGAGTAATTGAGAATTAGCTTTTTACTTGTTCATTTATATTGATCAAGTTTTTGTGGAAATTTTTGAGCTTAAAGATTTGACTACGAAACATTAACTTTTCCTTGATGGTATACATTTTTTTCAGTATCTATCTTGGCAAATTACTTTCAATTGACAGTTTCAGTACTAGACTTTCCTGAATTTTCTTTTGCAGCTTCTAATTATCGGAAAATTCTTTCCATTTTTTTCGACAGTTTCAATCCATTCCTTATCGTTCCTCTTAATAGATTGTAATTCACTGTGTAACAATTTAGTTATCATTTATTTTTCTATCAGAACTCTTTTTATGACTTCATAATTTTCTGGAACTATATATTATATCCTTTCAATGCTTGTAATGCATTTCCTTTTAAACGCTATATAATTCAACTTTTAAATTTTTGAAATGGTTTAAAAATGAACTGCGACATTAAAACTGCTCCAAAAATTCTCTTCATTATCAAGAATCCTCAATGAAAATGGTTAATGATAATGGTAATAGATTGATTGTATATGATGAGCAGGAGTTAGCTTTGAGAGTTCTATTCTTGAAGCAAGCATGAGTTTTATGACAGTCGCCTTAGTTCTTGATCGGTTTCATTTTTATGCATGATTAAGGTAATAAACCATTTCTTTTCATTTATGAATTAGCATGAAGATTCTTTTATCTATTAGTGTGTGTTTAGAATCTTTCACTTATCATTTGCAGATTCCAACGTGTTACCATACATTTCAATTCATTCTTCGATAATTTGTTTTTTTACTTCATAAATTTTGCATCGTTTCTTCAACCACTAAACTGGTTTCATATCCATTGCTCTTACTTCATTGAAAAGATTCTCGAATTTTTTTTTTTTTGCAATTTAATACTTGCTATTATACTAGCAACCATCGTATGTTATCTCTAGTACCAAAAATTTCGTTGTGGAATTTTTTTTTTTTGCAAAGGAATATTAGATTGAGATGGAAACAAGCTTACGTGAATCCTTTTGGTGATAAATCCGGTGCAAGCAGTGAATCCTTTTATCTTTTGATGATGAATCTGGTACAAGCAGTAAATCCTTTTATCTTTTGATGATGAATCTGGTACAAGCAGTAAATCCTTTTATCTTTTGATGATGAATCCTTTTATCTTTCGATGATGAATCTGGTACAAGCAGTG